CCAGCCTCCGCCTGGTCAGCCAGGAGCTTCTTGCGAGCCTTGTCTGCCTTCAGCTTGTGGATGTGTTCCGTGAGAATCCGCTTGTTTTTGAACACATTCCCCTTCACCTTCAGGTACAGGCTGTGATACATGTGGCGATCAATTTTCTTAGATTCCCGGTATCTTCTGAGCAGCCGGAGCAGAATCCTCATTCTCCCCATCCACGTAACCTTCTCTGGCATTCGGGCATTGGCTGTACCCTTACGCTTACCTATGCCCATGTGCCTGCCCTTCCGGTCGGCCAAGGTGTTTTTCCTGCAGTGAGCCCGGGAATGGACCGTCATAGGCTTGCGGATGATCAGCCCATCTTTGATTAGTTTACGGATCTGTTGACTCGAGTTAGCATTGGCCATTTCATAGGTCTTATTCGGGTCCAACCAGACCTTCTTTTTGCCACAGCGGAGGACACTAAAGGCGAGCCTCTTCTGAAGCCTGGCATACTCAAGGATGTGGCCGCAGCAGCGAAATGAAAGAGCTCCAAAAATCTTTGTAAGACGGCCGGGTGCGGTGACTCAAGCCTGTAATCCCAGCACTTCGGGAGCCCGAGGCGGGTGGATCACGAGATCATGAGATCGAGACCATCCTGGTCAACATGGTGAAACCCCGCCTCTACTGAAAATACAAAAATTTAGCTGGGCATGGTGGCGCGTGCCTGTAATCCCAGCTACTCAGGAGGCTGAGGCGGGAGAATTGCCTGAACCCAGGAGGCGGAGGTTGCGGTGAGCCGAGATCGCGCCATTGCACTCCAGCCTGGGTAACAAGAGCGAGACTCCGTCTCAAAAAAAAATCTTTGTAAGAAAAACACTAACTTCCTATAGCTGTCAGTTTCAAAGTAAGCTATAGTAAGGTTCTTAATTTTATTCCTGAAAAATAAAAGTTCTTTATATCAACTTGTCATATATAGGGAGATGGTTCGAGTTGGAGTTTTCAGTGTGTATGAATTCTACATTATCTATTGTTGACCTTTTCATATTAGCAAATGAAGCTGCTGACAGTGATTGTACATATATGTATACAAGTGGCGGGGGAAGACTACTGCAGTTCTACAGAAGGCTTTCTTCTATATCTTACAGGAAAAGTCTGCCCCTTGATTTTTCTTTTATTACTACTACTGCTGCTGCTCCTACGACTGTGGCAGTTATGCGCCAGGCTTCGTTCTAGGTGCTTTAGACGTATTAGCCCATTCGAGTCTTATAACAACTTACTGAATATGTGCTATTACCGTCCCCATTTAACAGAGGAGAAAACGTATAGAGAGAAGTCCTCCTAGGGAATTAGAGCTAGTAGGTGGCAAAACCAGCACCTTGTGTTGTTTGGTCCAGAACCTGTGCCCCTGCTACTCTGCAGTCCTGTCTACTACTAATCTACCACACTGGCGATTGCATATCGTCCTCTCTGTATTGCTTACTTCCCCAGTAGGAAAACAAAGTTTTACACAGTTGGAAATGATAAAGAATTACATACAATCTGCTATTGCAGTTATAGAGTGGATTTTCATGAACTTTTCTTGACATAAAATTTAATATCAGGAAGTTGATTTCATGTGAAACTTCAGTTGTGTGAAATATTGCCTACTCGATCAACTTTTATGAGCATATTAGAGAAAGGCAGTGACTTAACTGCCATACTCAACTCAGATGGTGATACAGGTGTACATGTGTGAATTACCACATTGCAGTAATAGAGTGACTTGGTGAAGAAGTGGGTACAGGAGACAAAAGAGATACCAGTAAGTATGACTTAGACTTTCTTCAGTGCCAATTATTCAGAGAACCTTAATTAACTTGTAAATGTACCCTTGATAAACTTAAAATGACCATGTATAATGTGAAGTTAGTATGATGTGTTAAAACTGTTTAGGACCGGAAGTAGACATTAGGAACTCTCACAAGTATCTAGATATTCAGAATTTGTCAATATCAGTAAAACAATTTTCAAGAAAACATGACCTGTTAGAGATCATGGAAACTATGTATTTCTTCTAAACTGTTGGAATAGACAAGAGTGTACAAACTTCAAATGACTTTAGTACATCTATATGAATAAACGTAGTGAAATTAAGTAAATGAATTCATCCAATATATCACTAACTCTTGAACAGGCTGAATTAAAGACTATGAATATAAGATAATACCATTTATAACAATAGTAATACTAGTAACAACTACAAAAACTACCACACAACTTACATTTATTGTGAATCGGGAAAGTGCTTTAAATGAGTTATGTTATTTAATCCTACAACAACCCTGTGAATTCACTATTATTACTTCCAACTCCACAGATAGGAAAAAGAGAGCATTAATTATGTATACAGTTACACAATTAACAAGTGTCATTTATTCGATATTTACTGAATGTACCTACCACAGATCTATACTGTTCTGGGTAGTGAAGAATTAGCAATGAGTAGAACAATGTCCCTGCCTTCATAGAAGGACCCCACTTTTTATGAGAGAGACAGACAACAAACAAATAAACATGGAAACATAATAAGCCAGCTGGTAATTAGGATTATGCAGAACAGTAAACCCCAGGATGGAGACAAAAGAGTGCTAACATAAGGTACTGCAATAGGCATTGTCACTCTTTTATGCAGGGCAGTAAGGGAGACCTCTCTGATAAGGTGACATTTTAGCAGATACCTAGAGGGAGAGAGCGAGATTTCTAGGAAGAGTATTCCTGGCAAAGGAGAGAAAGAGATCCCTGTGCTTGGAATTGGAGAGGAGCATGATCTAGGAGGCCATGTATTTGGAGTGGGTGAGGAGGAGCATGGTTGGAGTTTGAACCCAGATTTATCTGACTCCAGAGTTTATAAACCACTGCACCAATCTGATAGGGCAACCACAACGTTACCCAACCTACTGCGATCTTAGAGACGTATTAGCTAGATACATATTCTCATGGAAAAGAGAAGGGTAGTGACAATCTACTCTGAAAGTTCTGGGTTGCATTGAGACTATGTGAGAAATCCCTGTGGTTTGTGGAGAGGTGTTTTTGAGACTAAAATTAGAGAACAATTATGGAGGATAAGTTTGGGAAACAGATTGTAACTCCCATGCTCAGAATTCTCTGATGGTTCTTCGACTGCCTCCAGAGCTTTAGAGAAATTAAGTAACTTTCTGAAAGCCCCATAGCAAACAGACCTACTTTTGAATTATGATAAAGACTGTATTCATAACTACTGATCTGTGCTTTCCTTCTCAAAGTGAAATCAATCACACGCTCCTTGGCTTCCTGTCACTTCCTATCAAAGTCGACATGACTTGGCAAGGAATGCAGAATCCCCAGAGTGTGACTGCACCTTGTTTTATGCCCTCCTTCCACTGTCCCTCCCTGTGCGCCTTGGCATGCAACAGAATAGTGCTCCTCAGGGTCATGTTCCTAGGATTTTGTGCATTCTGAAATGTCCTCCTTTCTCTTGTTTCTCTTGTTTTGTGACCAACATTTTATATTTTTCTCGATTTTTTTTTTGTTTGTTTTTACCATTTTCCTTCCCAGGTTGAGTTTTAACTTCTTCCCAGGCTGCGTTTAGAGCTTATGTGTCTTTTTACTTGCTCATCATTTCCAGTAGAAATCATTTCTTCAGTCCCTATCCTCCCTGCTGGGATTATACTTGCATAAAAGCCTCTGCAAGCATCAACCATGGATTTTATTACCAAACTTTTTCAGTAATTTCTTTGCTTTTGTATCTGCCTTGTCTTCCAAACTATGCCATTCAAAGCTTTTAAAAAAATCTATTTCTCAACCAAATATAGGGTTTGGCATTGGTTTACCTGCTTACTTAAATTTAACTGAAGAATATTAGATGCAGAATTATAATGGTGACAGATTTGATCAGATTAAAACAAGTGGAGTATGTTGAGCAGTAATGTTACTTCATTATGGAAAAATAGATGATAAAATCTATTCAGTGAAAGAGTATGATGTGTCAGGCATTAAACTCAGTGTAAAAATACATCATTCTGTTATTCCAGATCAAATTCAAACCTGTAAGATATATCTTATTAGGTATAACTTTAAAATTAAATTAAAATCTTAATAGATATAACTTTAAAACTAAATTGAATATGTATTTATTTTTGAACTATGACTAAGAGGATAGTAGGAGGGTGAGTGAGGCTTTAAGTAGAGGAAAAAGTCTTTAGAAAGGGACAGAAGTCATCCTCGTTTCTTTGTATTCAGTTTTTAAAACGTTACTACAAATGTGTATACTTGGCTACATGGCAGAGATCTTCCGGAAAGAACACTGCCTTCATTTATAACTTGGACATGGCATGTTGGGTGAGACAGAGGGCTATTGGGGAAGTGAGCCCAGATGAGACCTTGCATATAATGCAGTGCTTCGTGCTGTTATCAACGGTTAATTGTAAAGGTTTTAGTAAGTACCATCCTTCCAACCTAAGGACCAAAGTGGGATACTTCAGGCCATGGTTATTTAGCATAATTCCTGATTTTCAGTAAGTAGGAAGCCTATTAATTAGGAAGTCTATAGAGTAATTTTTGAATGAAATGCTCATTGCTGATTGCTGTGTTTCTCAGAGAAGTATTTAATCTCAAATTGATATATTGCTTGTAATCACTGGCAAATCATTTTGAGACAGTCATTTAATTTTGGCTTACATTTAATTTTGGCTTACTCTAGTGATGTTGAGTTGCACTCTGAAAGACTTAAGTGCAAAATCTTGAAAAAAAAATTTAGCACATAATTTTCCCACATTTTTCCTGACACAATATAGCTTTTCTTCCCTTTTTTGGGTTGATTTTATTGTTTTCTTAATTTCTCAATATTTTGTGCTGATTATGTGAATTAGACATTATTTAATCCTAATGCTTAGCCTCTCAGTAGGAAAGACTACATTAATGCTCAGAAAATACATTTAAAAAAGTATTTTGCTTCCAACCCTTTCCAGTATCCAGTAGAAATTTATTCTAAAGCTCTTTTTGTGGATTTCCTGCAGTGACACCACAGCCAAAGCCCTGTGGGAAGCTTTACTGAACACCAAGCACAAAGAGGCAGTGATGGAGGTTCGGAGACATCTAGTGGAAGCGGCAAGCAGAGAGAACCTGCCAATCAAGATGAGTATGGGTAAGCCTAAACCTAGGACACAGGCAGACTCTGGGGAAGCTTATTTAAACCTGCTCTGAATTGTGGGCCAACCTAGCCAACATAGAATCTAGGTCAAAGTATTAACAACTTTTGCATACTGTTGAAAGAATAGGGAAGGAATATGTGCACGCTGCCCTTGGGTTCAGCAATGACCACTTTTCTTAGAGTTAGCTTTGGGAATTCTAGGAGAGATTTTGCTTACAAAGAATAATTACTTTAGTTTCTTGTTGATCTATTCTAGAACTATCAAAATTGGCCTGGACCACCTTTCCTTAATTCTATTCTACCCCACTCCCTTTTTTTTCCCAGTCTGCCCTCATTCCCCCACTTATGGTGGGTGAAAATTCTTTTATTACTTTAGAATTAATGAATGAAATTGTACTGAGAAAACAATTGAGCAGGCAGACATTCTCTGGCCTGGTCCCTCATCCTTACAGTGCTAATTGTCAAGTCACATAAGTGTTATTTCTTTTTCACTAATATTACACACCTAATTTTTCGATTTCTCATTTTTTTTTTCACATCCAGCTTTGTCTTTGGTATTAGATGAATATAAGTGCAATGGAATTTAAGTTTTAAATGGCTTTTTTTAAATCAAAAAGTCAGAGAACCACAGAACTGTTTTGATTTTAGAAAAGAAATTTGGCTTATCAAAATATTAAATAATTTTATTGATACAGAAATATTTAAATATGGATATTGAATCTAGTTAATAGGTAGACTTTGTTTCTGGAAGCTTGCAAAATTTTATTTTTTCTTTTAAAAATAAGGTTTCTCTCTTATAATCTGTTCTTAGGTATTCAGTAAATATTAGTACATTTTACTGGATGGGAAACTTTCTCTTCGCTGAGAGTCATAGCCCAAGTTCTTGATTGCTTATGGTGGCAAAAATAAAAGTAAGGTGAAACAGAACAAAATTTGGAAGTAGAAAAATATGGATGAACCTAGGAGGGAAAAAGTTATAGAATTATAACATGAAAAAAATGTGACTTTTAGTGTATTAGGTGACTATATTTGAGGGCTTCAAGGAGCATAATGATGTTAAGAAAAGTGAAATAACTAACCATAATTGAGAGCTTACAGTATGCTAGGTCTTTGGACTCTTTGCATGTGTTATCTTATTTCATTCTTTGAGCAATTCTATGAGACAGATACTATTAGTATTTCATTTCTTAGATAAGGAAACCGAAATGGAGAAAAGTAAGTTTCCCAAGGCCATATACCTGATAAGTAGTAGGACTGGAATTCAAATCCAAGAATTTTGATGCCAGATAATGTATACTTTATTTATAAAATCATGCTAATTCATAGAACCAATACCAGAAGTCCTACATGTGGTTTTGAAGGGTGAGAGGTCTTTTATTAGTTTTGAATTAATACATGAACTGCTTTACTAAAAACAGTTGAGCAGACAGACATGTCCTAGCCTGGCCCCTTACCCTTAGAGGGGGTCTCAAAGTTGCTGCACTGAGACTTCCGGGCATTTGACTATTAATTCTCTTTCCTTTCTTCCTCCTTTTTCCCTTCCTTCTCTCCCTCCATCCCCCAACCCCCTCTCTCCTTTCCTTTCCATAGCCCTAGGTACACATTAGGGACAAGTGTTTTTACCTTATCGAGTGTCTTATTCATAAGCATGTTGAAACAAGAACTAATTAATATTGTAAATCAGCTGGGCGCTTTGGCTCATGCCTGTAATCCCAGCACTTTGGGGGGCCAAGGTGGGCAGATGAGGTCAAGATATTGAGACCATCTTGGCTAACATGGTGAACCCTCCTCTAAAAATACAAAAATTAGCTGGGTGTAGTGGCACGTTCCTGTAGTCCCAGTTACACAGGAGGCTGAGGCAGGAGAATCATTTGACCCCAGGAGGCAGAGGTTGCAGTGAGGTGAGATCCCACCATTGTACTCCACCCTGGGTGACAGAGTGAGACTCTATCTCAAAAAAAAAAAATTTTTTTTCGTGAATCAAGGCAAGTAGGAATGCACAAAGGGTCTTGATAATATGGTTAATTTATATTGTGTTTCAGTGATACAACATTATGACGCTGTTACAGAGCATAAATCAGTTTTTATTGCTTGATTCACGACTCTCGAAAGATCAACAAACTACTTTTCTAAAGGGCTGTATCTTTGAAAAAGAATCAGAGCCAGAAATTTATAAAAATGACAGGCAATCCCATAAGGAAATCACAGTTAAATGTTTGAGTTTTCTGTCAACCAAAAAAAAAATTTTTTTTTTAGATGGAATGGTTTGCTTTATCTCAAAACTCCAGATAGGGGTTGGGGTGGGAGTAAGAGGAAGAAAGAAGGAAAGAAACAGAGGATTGTTAGCAGAATTCTGTTGTAAGAAGGACCAAAACAATTGATTTAAAGCATACTCTATTCATGTGCCAACTACAGTTTAGTAACAGATAACACAGTGTGGCTGCCCATTTTTGCTTCATATCACTAGCCAGAGTTTCTTGTGTCTCATTTTCATATATAAACAGATACATAACTATGAATAGTAAGGAAAAGAGCTGGAACTTGTAACCGTAGTAAAACATTGATTTTTGAAAACTGCCTATCATATAGCTTATCACAGAGCATTTAAAACTATAAAGTGGATTTTATAAAAGCACAATTCTCCCATCCTTGCTATAGTTTCTACTGAAGTATAAATTTTTTCTGGCTATAATAAAGGCTTCTAGTATTTTTAAGATGTTAAACAGATTTTAATTCTAGACTCAGAATTCTCTTGTATTTAAATTTATGGAGAGGGATCCCGTAATTGAAACCTCAGATCTTAAATAGAAAATTTCTCGGAACAAGGTAAGTTCATGTTAAAGCATTATGAGCACCAAGAGAAATAAACATCGTCCACTTAAAGGAAAAAAGTTTAATTGCTAAAACACAGAAAAAAATTCATTTTATCATTGCACATATAAACATGTCATCTTTCTGAGAGCTTGTTATTAAATTGTCAGTTAACTAAATAGACATGTTCCAGAAAAGTGACTTTTAAAACACTGAAATGGAATTGCATTTTTCCCACTGGCTTTCATAATGAAAAATGTATTCTGATAGTAACAAGACAAATAGACCATAAGAAATCCATTTGTTTGAATCTAAAATGGCCCCTCACAGAAGAAATGAGTAAATGATGCTCATCTCAAACTCTGGTACATTTTATGGAGAATCTTTCACTGGAATATGATTGTGGTTGAGGAACTTCACTTATTTGTGTCATAGTTCTCTACCAAATGGACATGTTCTCCAGTGTTTAATGGATGCAGAACTATCCTATTATACTAGAGCTGAAGTGAAACAGTATCTTTAAGATACTGTCTTTTCTTGTAGCCAGATTTCTTGAGTTTTCTATGCTTGATGCCTCTGTTTCTTTTTTTTTCTGAATTTGATGCAATTTTTAATCTTCATTTATCTCTTTTGTATCAGGGGTGTGTGTGTGTGCATGTCTGAAGAAACGTTTTTTTTTTTTTAATTTTTTATTGGATTTTAGGTTTTGGGGTACATGAGCATAGCATGCAAGACAGTTGCGTAGGTACACACATGGCAGTGTGCTTTGCTTTTCTTCTCCCCTTCACCCACATTTGGCATTTCTCCCCAGGCTATCCCTCCCCACCTCCCCCCTCCCACTAGCCCTCCCCTTTTCCCCCAATAGACCCAAGTGTTTAGTACTCCCCTTTCTGTGTCCATGTGTTCTCATTTTTCATCACCCGCCTATGAGTGAGAATATGCGGTGTTTCATTTTCTGTTCTTGTGTCAGTTTGCTGAGGATGATGTTCTCCAGATTCATCCATGTCCCTACAAACGACACAAACTCATCATTTCTGATTGCTGCATAATATTCCATGGTGTATATGTGCCACATTTTTCCAATCCAGTCTATTATCAATGGGCATTTGGGTTGATTCCAGGTCTTTGCTATTGTAAACAGTGCTGCAATGAACATTCGTGTACATGTGTCCTTATAGTAGAACGATTTAGCCTCTGTTTCTTTATTATTTTCTTCCTAATGTAGTGCAGTCTGGCTCATGACACTTTTTTACTGGGAAGTCTCCCAGACCACTAAATATAAGGATATTTTTGCCAGTCAGCACCCTTCTCGACTTCTTTGCAGCATTCACTGCTAGACTCATGCCACTTTCTTACATGTCTCTTTGTGTTTTCTGTGACTTTAGCCTCTTCTGATTGTGATGGAGTACAAAGTCAATTATATCTGAGGGTGAATTACAGTTCTGCCACTTATTAGCCAAACTTCAATTTCTTTGTCCATTAAATAGGGGAAATAGCTATTTTTTGGAATTTGGAAGGAGAATAAAAGCTCTGAGCAGAGTGAAGTTATGACTATCAAGCAAAATGGAATGAGTAAGCTGTCGTTGTATTCTCTGTCTATGGGAAAATCTACATAGGAAACTAAATTATGAGAAGGGTATTTGACGAGAGTGAATGCAAAGCAAACAGATCGTTAGATGATTTCCCCCTTCCTTTTTGGAAATGTACTAATTTATTCTTTCCATTTCACTCATCTTTTTCTAGGCATTATGCTAAATAGCTCCCTTCTCATAACCCTGTCTTTTTTTAAAGCAGAATTCTAAATAGTTTTTTCATGTTCAGCCTGGTTATAATTCCATTCCATTCCCTCTTTCCTGACTCTGTTAATTCCTCCTGACCCCTTCTCCCCACACCACCAACATCCCCTTGACTGTATTTGGGATTCCCAATCCTCTGTGGTCACACTTCTATGGAAAGATTTCTGTAGTTGTGTTTCTAGATGATAATCTGATCCAGTATAATGTGATACTTCTTAATTTGCTCTCCTAGTTCTGGGGCATCTTAGTGTCAGCCCTATAAACTCACCACCATTGTCTCTTTTCCAAATTAAATATGATGAGTTCTTTTGACCGTTTGTGAAAAGACAAGCCTTTCCCACGTTTTGCTTCTAGCTTTGAGTCACTGGCAGAGCTCTAGTTTGTTAG